TGAGGTTTCCTGTGTCTGAGACTGTCTGTATCTCTTCACGGAGCTTGATCCAATAATGATTTGCACAGTGTCTGCTTGCTCGCTGTACCTTGGTTTTTGCATGTTGAAGTCTCACTTTGGTACTTTGTTGGCTTCTTGTTGCGTTCCAGATAGGCCGTATTCTTAATGTTGATGAGAGTTAATAGTTCCGCTTCATTTTCTTCAAACCAGTCCTTTTTTGATGGTCTCTTTCCCCCAAATGTAGCCTCTCACTGGATGAAGAACTAAATGTTCCCATTGGAAAGGCGGCCACCACCTTTAGCAGACTAACTAAAGGAGCCTGGAACAACTCAAAGCTGACCATCAAGACCACAATGCTCGTGTACCAAGCCTGCCTCCTTAGCACTCATGTATGATGGGGAAACATGGACAACTTGTGCTCACCTGGAGAAAAGGTTGAACAGTTTCCACCTATGCTGTTTACGCCGCATACTCAACACCAAATGGCAGGATACAGTCACCAAACACCGAGGTTCTTCAAAGGGCAAATTTACCAAGTGTGACAGCCCTGCTCAAGCAAAGAGGACCGTGCTGGCTGGGCCATCTGAGTAGTTGGAAGACGGACGCGCACCCAAGGACGTGCTATACAGGGAGCTATCATAGGGAATAAGAACAACAGGACATCCCAAGCTTCTCCATGAAGACACATGCAAGCGAGATATGAAGGAATTTGGAATTGATCCTGACCACTGGAAATCTTGGCAAGTGATTGTACCAAGTGGCGCCATCGTCTCCATCCGGGTATCAGAGCCCAGGACAGAAGCTGGCCCCCCAAAGCTTGAAGAGAAACGAGCCCGTAGGAAGCCAGCAGCTCCCAAGTTACAGTCAATTGCAACAACTGCCAAATCTCATGCAAATCTTAGATTGGACTATTCAGTCACACGAGACACCGCAAACCATCGACAGCACAGGCTGCAATTCCCACGTCTCTCGCAGACGAAAGGGTGCCAGCTCGGAGCACTGGGGAAGTGCCAGAAGGTTGGAAGAAAGTGAATGGGCCAGTTTTTAAAAGGGTAAATGGGATGACCCAGATAATTACGGACCAGTCAGCCTGACATCAATCCAGGGCAAGATAATGGAGCAGCTGATATGGGACTAGATTAATAAAGAACTAAAGCAGGGTGATCTAATTAGAGTAGAACCTCAGAGTTACCACACACCTCCTTTGGAGCCGGAAGTATGCATCCGGCAGCAGCACAGACAAGACCCAAAAAAAAAGCAAATACAGCCCAGTACTGCGTTAATCGTAAACTACTAACAAATAAAGGGAGAACAGCATTCTTCTTCTGCACAGTAAAGTTTCAAAGTTGTGTTTAATCAATGTTCAGTTGTAAACTTTTGAAAGAACAACCGTACCGTTTTGTTCAGTTACGAACAGTTCAGAGTTACGAACAACCTCCATTCCCGAGGTGTTCGTAACTCTGAGGTTTTACTTTAGTGCCAATCAGTGGTGGTTTCTGGAAAACAGATTCTGTCACACTAACTGGATGGTTTTCTTTGATGAGATGACAGGTTTGGTTGATAAAGGGAATACTGTTGCTGTAATATACCAAGGCTCTGTCTACACTAGCACTTTTGTTGGTTGGGGTGTGACTCCCAAATGCGTGTGGAGCAGACCCTTTCCCTGGTGCTCAGCCAGCCGCCTGCCGAGTTCTCCTTCAGCGACAGGGGTACCAGACCCTGATCTTGTGAGAGCAAGTCTGGGAGCTGGAGCGGGGTTTGTCTCAGATTCATCCATTGCCATTTGCTACGTTGTCTTGCCCCCTTGACGGTCTCAGCTCCCCTCTCCACGCCTGCAGGAGCCAGGAGAGACGGGGGCCCCCTCCCCCACCTCAGGAAGTGGCACTTCACAAACAGGGTTGGATAATTTGCAATGTGGAATTAGAAGGGGGTGAAACGTAGACCCTTCAGCCAAAGGGCTGCGGTTTCCTGGGGTTCATGTCTGTCGGGGATCTGGTCTTCCCTTGGCACCTTGAGACCAGCGACCCCAGAGTCAGATGCACGTGGAAATGTTCTAATCCCTCGGGCCAGACTTAGTAGCACTCTTCCACCCGCTTCCAAGTGGGGAGGTGAGGCCGGGAGGCCACAGGCCCTGGGCTGGCTCCAGCAAGCCCTCTTCGACTGGAGGGCACAGAGGGGCTGGGGGAGGCAAGAGGGCACTGCCTGGGGAGAGGGAAACAGGTTATCCCCAAAGGGGAGAGGGGGGGCTGGCATATGCACAGTCCTAGGGCTGGGATGACTCCAGCAGCACCCTGCCCCCGGCCTCACCAGCCCCTGGGGCACCAGAGCCCAGAGCTAGGGCTGGGTTAGGACCAAATGCTCCAGAGGTCATTCCCTCCCCCCACCTAAGGTCAGGGCCCCCCAGGCGACAGCCAGGACAGGTGGGTCACTGCCCCCCTCACTCCCAGCAGACGAGGGGGAGGAGGGAGCGGCAGGTTTGGGCTGACCAAAGGGCTGAGGGGCCCCCCATTGGCAGTCCGGCGCCCAGGCAGGGCGTAGCACTGTTACGAGAGCTGGATGGGAACTGAAGTGAGCTGGGAGGACCCGAAAGGTGCATGCAGGCCAGGGACCAAAACCCCGGAAAAGCTACTGGGCCGCCTGCGGGTAACCCTGCTTGGCTTGAACTGCCCCAGGTCGCTGGTTAAAGGGACCCTGCTCAGTTTGGTCTCCGGGGGAAGAGAGGGGGGATTTTCTGTAATATTCTTTAAGTCCTGTGTGTGCCTCAGTTTCCCCTGTATTATGCATTACCCTGTGGGGGAAAAACAACAGTTTGTTCTCAGCACAGGCTAGGCCCTGGTCTATGCTACAATGTTAGCCCAACAGAAACCACCTTTCGTGAACCCAGCTGTGCACGGGCGTGACGGAGCAGGGAGTGGGGCGGATTGACCTGGGAATGTTGCGTGGGAGTTTTACTGGGACTGTCTGCATTGGTGATGGGATATCAGGGTGTGACTTCACTTGAGGGAGGATACCTGAACATGTAACCGGAGCCCAGGAGAGAGATTGGGGCCAGGTGACACCTGCCCGGGAACCTGGACAAAGGCTGGAGGAGGAGCTGGGGGCGGTGGCAGGGTGAGACGGCTGGAGGGGATTTCAGTTTGGAACTGGCTGGGGAAACGGAGGGAGGCCCAGATGGGGTCTAAGCTCCCTGCCCCCCCCAAGATGGACCCGACTGAGGGGGTCCTGTTGTCTACCTACAAGCTCTGTGTTGGACTGTGTTCCTGTCATCTAATAAACCTTCTGTTTTACTGGCTGGCCGAGAGTCCCGGTGAATCGCAGGAAGCCGGGGGTGCAGGGCCCTGACTCCCCCACGCTCCGTGACAACGTGTCTATGCTCAAAGCTGCCTCCCGCCAGCGTAAGCGCCATTACACCGACACCGTAACATCCTGAGCAGTGGCGGCGCGCCACGGACGACGTACTGAGCTCAACGCAGCACAAGTGTGTTACATCGACCCTAACAGTCCTCCAGCAGCTGTCCCACAATGCCCCCATTCTGACCGCCATTGTGAACTCCACTGCCCGGGGATCACAGAGACCAGAAGCCCCCCCCCCTGGATTTCTGTAATTCCCTCTCCTGGTAGCCCGGCGGGGCGAGCACACCCAGCAGCTCTCCACTGGGGTGTGGGTGCCCCGCTGGCCAGACCTGGCGCTCACGGGGGATGCTGGATCTCCGGGGCCGGAGGGGAGAAGCGGCTGTGCAGGTGCCGCTCCGATCCGGCCGTACGTCGACAGCTCTGATCCGGTTGCTCGGGGGAGCAGGAGAAGGGGCATCAAGGCATCACACCCTGCTTACCGCGTTAGGGGAGCCAGGGAAGGGGGGTCTCACGGTCTGTACAGACCATATTGACCTAGGGACCAAGGGCCTGTTAGCTGAAGCTGCGGCCATTGTGGCCCTGCGGGGATCCCCTGCCACACCCGGGGAGCGACTGACCCAGATAAGGAGGAGGAAAGAAGCGACGGAGGCGGGAGGACAGGTTCCACGAGATGCAGCAAGCCAGCGCTGCACCCGGCCGTGAGCAGCGGGCCCGGGGGGTGAGCACTGCAGACAGCCTGGAGAAGGAGAGCGGAGAAAGGCCCAGCAGGTAAAGGAGGGGGAGCTGCACCAGGATGTAACAGGGCTTCTCCGGCAGCAAACACAGATGCTGCAGGCACTTGTGGACCTCCAGGCTCAACTAATGCAGGCTGGCCTCCCTCTGCGTGGGAGAACAGAAGCAGAGCACATCCCTGTACCCCCCGTTTTCCACATGGCCTCAGGGCCAGCATGGCTGCCCCCACCGCTCCACCACAGGGAGAGCCCAGACACCACCACTTCCCCTGCGCTGACACGGCCGACGGACGCGCAGCGCCGACGCACATCCCTCTTCCTTCCCCTTGTCCGTTTAATAAGGTGCCAAAAATCTCTCCGTTCCCCGGGATTTACTAGCACATTCTGCAGCTTGTTTGCGGAGTGTGCTCCTGCCACCGAATAAAGCGATTGGCCTTTGTTGGCTTACCACACGTGCTGGACAATGCGCGCTGGCGCGAAAGGAACAGTCTTGTGCACTCTCCCCCACAGGAGCAGCGACCCGCCTGGCGCAGCACGCGCCCCAGCGTGCCTAGCGCACTGGCAGTGACAAAGGCACAGATGTGCAGCACCACACAGTTCCTCCCAAGCCCCGCTGCTGGGCACAGACCACCCAGCCCATCGGTCCAGGGCTCTTTCAAAGCCTCCCTGAGCCGTAGCTCCTCGCTGAGCTCATCTCGTAGCCCTGAGGTCTGGCTGGTCCAACCCGCTCCCCTCCGACCTGCACCCCTGAAGCAAGTCCCCCCCCCTTTGCTTCTCAAATGCTATGCAGGACACGGTAGGCAGCTACAACCGTTGGGCTCTTTCTTCCACGGAGATCTAATCTGGGGAGTAGAGAACGCCAGCACCCCTTCCCTCTGCCAAAAGCACATTCCCCCATGTCACAGTGTCACTCACCACACCGGTGCCTCCTACTGGCCGGTTCGGGAATTAGCTCTGGTCAGCGGGTGTGCCCTCCAGTGGTGGTGGCTCTCCCGTCCTCGTCTCCACCTGCAGACCACTGCAGTTCCCGTCTCACTGCCTCTGCTTCGTGTCCTCCAGCCGTGTCTCCTTCCGGGGGACTCCATCCGCAAGAGTCTAGCTGCTCCTCGCGGCAGCTTGGCAGTCCATAGCCTAGTCACTTCTTCAGCGGTGAGTGGTTTTGGGGGGGGGACCCAGGCCCACCCACTACTCTGGGTCCCAGCCCAGGGACCCTACAAACAGCAGCTTCCCGCTGACCCTCCTTTCTTTCACCACCAGTCTGTCAAATCCCTGGGCCACTTCCCCATGGCCTCAGTTCCGTCTGCTCCTGCCTCTGGCTCCAGCTCCTTTGCCCTCTTCCCAGGGCCTCGAGCCTGTAAGTCCTGGCAGCCACCAGGAGCCCTCTCTGGCTCCCCTGGTCCCTGCTAGCACCTGCCCCTCCCCAGGAACTGGTCTCTCTGTAGCCCTCTAGAAAGTCAGTCTTTTCCCTAGGGCTCCCTGCAGCAGACTCGCTCACTCTGCTCTGCAGCTCCCTTTAGTATGGGCCGCCTGGGCCCAGACTGAGTGTCTGCCCTAATTGGCTGTTTCCCTGGCAGCCACTCCTTTGGCTGCCTGGCACTCAGCCGCCCTAGGCTGGTTTGAACCCTCGCAGGGCCAGTGTGGGGCAGGCGCCCCGTCACATCCCATCACGCTGCTGAGCCGGAAGCTGAATCTCAGCCTGCTGCCGCGGGGGCCGGCATACGGCTCCAGGAGAGTAAGGGGCAGGCTGGGTGCCCAGGGTCACGGCTGGCATTTCAATATCGCCTATGGGAACCCACCCACATCCCTGGCGATCCACCGGCGCTTGTGTAGCCATGGAAAAGTCGCCCTTTCTCGATGGACTCGGGGGTCAAAGTAGGGATGTGCGTGCTGGCTGTCGCTCCCCACTGCTGCAAAGCCATCCACACTGCCCAGAGTCACAGTCCTGCCTCGCAGGAGACCATCAATGGCCCTGCAGCACAACGGACCCCACGGTGGATTTTCCAACTCCAAACTCATTTCCCACTGACCAGTAGCAATCCAGCATTGCAAGTTTCCACAGTGAGATTGTCACTTGCTTCTTCACCGGCAGCGCAGCCCTCGTGCTGGAGTCCCGGTGCCGGAGGGCTGGGGAGAGCTTGGCACAGATCCAGGAACGCGGGTGCAGCCACTGCTCATCATCCCACAGCTGCATTACGACGCGATCCCACCGGTCATGCTTGTTTCTTGGTGTGACGAAGTGGGACTGTTCTTAATGTTTCCTCTGAATACTGTGTGCGTGCCTCAGTTCCCCCTATGCATTTCTCCAGTATCTAGATGGTGGGACAAGGGGGTGTGATCATTGCAGCGACCCCCAGAGGGCAGGTGTGACTGCTGACGGGCTGCCTGGGCACAGAGAATGGCTGGACACTCTCTGGAGCCCGTCCTCTGCAAGAGCCAGCAGGAGGCGTTGGAGAACAAAGCGAGAGGTGGAGGCCAGGTGACCTGTTTGCCCAGGAAAGAGACAAAGGAGGGAGGAGGGCAACAGGGCGGGTCTGAGGCCGGGCTGCTGGAAGCGAGTCAGTCTCCTGGTTGGGGACTCAGGGGCAAGGGCCCGGGGCTCTGGATCCCCCCTCCCCACAATAATAACCCGCCTATGTCACACTCGGGCGGGGAGTGACGACTGGCTGCGGTGTGGGGGGCAGAGCCCTTTGGGGGTGAGGCTCCCCCAGGGGTCCCGCCCATGGAGACTCGCTGTGGGGAGCTCCCAGGGTGACCAGGGGGCTGAACGCTCCGAGGTCAGACCCAGGAGGTGCCAAAGTGGAGCAGGGTCCTTGCCCTGGGACAGGTGCCCTGAGGGGAGATGCTGCCCCAGAGCCCTGCCTGGCATCACTCCGAGCGGGGCCAGGGCCCTCAGCCTGGGCACCCGGGACGCTTGGGCCCAGATGCGGCGCTACACTCTCTGCAGCTGCTCTGTGAATACCACCAGCCCCCTCCAATTGGATTTCACTACGTCCCCCAGCGTCGGCATGTTCCCCGCAGCTCTGCAAACACCGGGGATTGCGCTTGCTGGTAACGCTCACGACCACGGAGCAGAGCTGTGCAGGCTCCATGCTTCTGGGAGAGGTGGGGGACAGCGACTCTCCCAGCACAGGAGCGTGGGGAAGCAAAAACAGGTGCCAAAATTATGGGATAGAGATATTATGGGATGGAGAATATTGCATTATGGGAAACGGACCTCTTGCTCCCAGTGACCCATGCTCTCGTTTCTGTCTCACCATGCACTGCCTACGCTACGCGCCACACTGGACGGTGGCAGGTTGCTCGCTGGGCCCCCCCCAAAGCGTACAGCCCCATGCACAGACACAAGCACTCCTGGTGAGTCCGCGTAGTGCTGACACGAGGAGCCAAGTGTGCACATGCACCAGTGAC